AGTCTTGGTTTGCTTTAAAATCACACATGCTGTTTGCATGTGTATGTGTTTGTGTATGGTTCGGGTGTTAACGTGTTGCCATCATATTTACGACTCCTTTTCGAATCTCGTTGGGCTTGAAAAGAGAACCTATTGGGATATAAGTCCAAGTGTAATTTATTGCTATCAAAAGGCTCAATTATATCGTTTTGCGAAAAGCTTATATCTTAACCGGCCGAGGCAGACTAAATGTCTATTTTTTTTCACAACATTCCTATACCAAAAAATATCTGTCCTCGGTGGCTGGTTATATAATTCGAATGATCCGGCTTCGAATCCCGTACAAGCGTCGAAAAATACTTGAACAAGATTAAAACAACAGCAAAAGTACGCACCGTTTCGACATGGGGCCTGCTGACACTCGTCCACATCGAACTCGCAGTTGACACCCTCTCGACCCGGCTCGCAGTGACAACGGAACTCACGGCGCACTACTCGCATGTTTTGGTCGCCGGAGGGCAGTGTCGACAAGATGCTGTCATCCTGGACCCATTCTATGCTGCCCGGCAGACACCGGGACCCTGAGCCCAGGCAGGCAGAGGCAGCAGAAGCAGAGACTGACGATAGAGAGGCTATAGCAGAATAGGCGGCAGCCCTCAACCACGCGGAAGTCGTTTTCTCGCGGTATTCGTGCACTTGAATCACGTCGACGCTGGGCTCAGAGCATCGGGTAGCATTGAATTGGCATCGAGTCCCATAGAAACCGGAATGGCAGGCACACTTTCCGGAGGTCTGTACGAGGGATAGAGCAAGGGTGTGGAATAAGGCTTTGGGGCAGATGCATCTTGGGACAGTAGTTGCAAGCCCATTTATCAAAATTAAATATTTTTGATACAAGCAATTTACGAGACTATTAGTAATTCTTAAATAAGTGCTTAATCCTACTAGATCGCTTAAGGTGATTTCGTACAATCACAAATCACATTTTTATGATGGCATTGTTGATTAGGCATATATATATTTGCCATTTCAATAGATGAACCTACTTAATTTTTGTATGAGTAGTCTGTGATAATATCAATAATTTTATACTAAGAGCCAAGCTATCTTAAGCCATTTAAGATGATTTAAAGACCGATTGTTGTGTTTTCCCACGATCCCATTGGTAGGCCTCAGAACACAAATTTAATTTTACTTAAATCTTCCTAAGTATGTTATCATGAGGTATATTCCTCTCAATGTTGAAAAATCCAACTATCAGTGACATTACGCTTATATTCAACGTCTAATGTTCTGATCTAATTTTCGAATATTTGCCAATTGAAAGCGGGTCAAGAGGAATCTGCCGTCGTCTTCTGGTGGGATCCGCCCTTGAATCTCTTCATCACACACTTTCACTGCAAATGGGAAGACAACCGCAACCAGGACTTTTTTACTGCATCACACACAATTTATTGTTGAGTTCTGCACTATTTTGAATAGAAATATGTGAAGATTC